TCACCCGATGAAGCCAACAGAACCACATCATCCGCAAAAATCAGAGATGAGATTCTGAGGCCACCAAAGCGAAAGCCCTCCGCCACTTGGCTGCGCCTAGAAATCCTGTCCATAACCTCTTCACCCCCTTTTAATCTAAATGAGGAAATAATGAAAAAATGAGATTTTCTCTTACTTTTTTTTTTTTAACTTAACACTTAAGGTTAACCACACTCAAAGGCATGGTAAGACACAATATGGTTAGTAAACTGGGATGAAGTACATTTGTACATTTTCACACACTCATTTCTGCAGAAGTTTCCTCAGGACCTTAGACTAAATCAGTCTGTTTTTACCACAGGGAGCAGGGTTTAAATGAAGTTCTGTGTTCCATTCTATTTATCTATTTTCCAGTTTCAGTGCCCAGGTTGGAAAGCTGTAAACCACAATCAGAGGCAGCAGGACTGAAAACCCACCCGTGCTGACCGTTGTTGCAGTTGTCTGTCATTTGCTTTACATAGCGCAATCTTTGCTGCAAACTCTTCTGCATTACAACCACCTAATGCACTGGAGTCCGGAGTATGTCAGTGGACTCATTTGGTCCAATGAAAATGACCAACCGTCTCAAACAACTTTTTTATTTCCTTGTGAAAGTGTAATTTGGTTACTTGTTAGTTTCAGTGTCCAGATAAATTAGATAGTTATTAAAAATAAGAGAGTGTGTAGGGATATATTGCATGTTTTTTTTTTATATTGCAGTTAAAAGAAATCAAAATGTCAAGAAAACCAATAAGTGCTAAAGAGATTGGCATTTCTGCATTTACTTTTCAGACAGCTCAGCCCTTTCCAGATGGGGATATGATATGGGGGCTATAAGGTCAGATAACAAATGTGCAGTACAATTCTACAGACCTGATGGAAAGTTATTGACATCACAGGTCCATTTTGACAACTCGCCAACATGGAAAGACATGTTACAGTAGATACTAGCACTTCCTGTTCGCACTGTAGCCACATAAAAGTTTTTAACAATGATAATTACACAACATTAAATTCTGAAGGACTTTTTCTTAGTTATCTTTAATTACTTGTTCTACAAATTTTATAACTTTCTCGTTCTACAAAATCTTTAACTTTAAGTGATCCCTTAAGAGTCTAAAATCTGAAGATGCTCAGGTTTACTATGACAGAGCAGTCATGTACTGTTAGTTACACAACATTTGCTTTTGCTAAGGCACATCCTAGGAAAGAGGGCAAAAGCAAGTTGGTCAGAATAAATTAATTCAGCAGGCTGAGGGTGGATTTGTTAAATAGAGGCAAAAATTATTTATCAGTTGCTCTTTGCTGCTTTTTCTTTGAGTGTTTTTCTTGGTGTTGTCTAACAGCTGTGAGAACAAGAGAAAAGAAGGCAAATGACATGAAAATGTGTCTATAAATCTACACAATTCCAGATCAAATCAGAGGATCAGAGCTGACGAGACAACAATGAGACTGCTAGCTTTAAGACCCCATATGCTTTGCATCATAGTGTGAAGATGCTCAGGTTTACTATGACAGAGCAATTTTAATGATTCCAATGATTATATTCATTCTTAATGGACACTGAAGATCACACCAATATATGCATAATATTTCTATGTACAATACTAAGCAAAGCATCTTGGGGCGATCGTGGCTCAAGAGTTGGGAGTTCGCCTTGTAATCGGAAGGTTGCCGGTTTGAGCCCCGGCTTGGACAGTCTCGGTCGTTGTGTCCTTGGGCAAGACACTTCACCCGTTGCCTACTGGTGGTGGTCAGAGGGCCCGGTGGCGCCAGTGTCCGACAGCCTCGCCTCTGTCAGTGCGCCCCAGGGTGGCTGTGGCTACAATGTAACTTGCCATCGCCAGTGTGTGAATGGGTGGATGACTGGATATGTAAAGCGCTATATAAATACAGGCCATTTACCATTTGAGTCACCCATCTTTATTTCTTCTGTTTCTTTATTTCTTCTATTTTCCTTCCAAGGAGCCGACTGGCTTGTAATATTTTTTAAAAAGGTCTTGAGCAATAATTCTTCAGTTGTCTTCCAGTGTCCTTTTTTTCTTCATTTAGACATTGGTTGCTTTTTCACTCATTTTTGAATCATTCAAGCATAAACAGCCTACTGATTCAAGGGATGAACAGTTGCTGTGTCTACACATAACAGAAAACTTAGGAGAGAGGTACAGCAGTCTGCTGCTGTGTTAAAACCCGATGGAGGCTCTGTCATGGTCTGGGTGTACATTTCAGGGAATTATGTTTATTATTTCTTGTCAACATTGTTAGAATTCTAAATACAGAAAAAGGTGGTTATAGCAAATATCGACTTTCTAGCTCATTAGAATTCTACAAACTGTGTTTTTACCTTATATTACATTTCTATGTACGTTTGCACATTTAATAAATTACTGTGCCTGTTTCTAATTACTGCAAATATTCAAGGGGTTGTTTATATCCTTATTCCACTTTGAAAGTAGAGTCTAGCAATGTTTGGGTATTGTACCTACTGTGATATATATTTCACTGTGAACTCTGCGTTCCTAAACTTGCGCTTGGGAACTAGAAATTTTTATTTTAACTGCCCTAGACATAATATAGGAGAGAGATCCCATTTTCTCAGTGTAAAGAGGAAGAATCAGGAGGAGAGTAGTCTGAAAGATGCTGGTTTCTTACCCCATACTTGCACTGGCGTGAAGAGGTTCCATACTGGAAGCGACACTGCTCATCTGCATCATACACCTGCCCCGGGGCCACTGTTGGGTACAGGAAGTCTCGTTTCAGAGGTTCATTGTCCAGACACGTCCCCCGACCTGAGCTGTCAAAAAAACAAACCTACAATAGGATTGTTTCTTACACAAAGAAACCTTTCTACACTTGCATAATAGCCGAGTTAGAGATGCCAAGACCAGAACAATTAGAGTCAATCCCCTCTGAGACCTTTGCTAGTTTTCTGTGACTCCTTTAATTTTAGTACCAAACTACTGTTATAGGACGCTTTGACAAAGATCTGAAAAGTCATGTAATTAATGCTGATATTAGACATCAACGCCTCTTCATCAAATGAAGTGTTGAAGCACAAGCAGACATTTTACCCAAGGCAATAGGGTGCAGGCTGTCAGCCTAGAATGGCCAGCCCTCCCTGATTATATGGCTACGTGCTCCACTATTGTGTGTATGACTCCTTAGACTGAGCCCACCGACTGCCAATTAAATGACAGTTGAGGAAAATAAAGAAAGAAATCTGGAGTTAGATTTGGATCTTATGTCCAGACCTAGGATTGTTTAGTCTGTTTTGTCAAATAAAAATATGTACAACATGTACACCACCAAAAGCAGACACACACACGTACACACACACTGCAATTTTGTATTCTAGGAGTTAAAACAATGAAAATACTTTTACCAGCACAGACACTTGCTGCCATGAGGTTATAAAAGATTTTTTTTTATGAAAGACTACATCCACTGGTCTTCCCTGAGTCAGAGGATTATCTCGAGGCAAAGTATTACCATGACTGTTTACTATAAGAACTATGTGTTCCTTCCAGATGTGGCAGCTGTAGCATGCGATGGAATGCTTCTCATCCCTTTAAAGGCAAAGTGGGCTTGGTGACAACAACATTGTAAGTGCTACACATTATGACTGATCAAACTACAACTTGGGCCCAGAATGAAAATGAGGGGAAGAGTCAACAATAATATTAAGATAAATTAAATACCCGGATATGATTAGCACAACACAAAATTTGGTAATTTGGTTTTCAAGATTAAATCTCTCCAGTTATTTTTGTAGACAGCATTTTGACTGACGTATAAATTTATGTAAAAATCATCATAAAAATTCATTTAATTGACTTTCACATTGTAACTACCTGTCTAAACTCACAGACTCCTGGTGTTTGAACAAGAATGCATAAACAAAATATATTATATATAATCTTTGTTTACATACCAAATAGAACTTATTGTGTATGTTTTATTTTCAGCGCTGAAGACCAAGAAGAGCAAGTCATCCTTCTTTTCTCTAATCTTTTCTATCTTTTCTAATCTCTTCCGTTTCTTGCATTTTTAATGCTCTATTCTCTGTTACTGAAAGGAATAATGTTTTTTCTTTACTCTTGTCCCTCGGAGGACCCTCTCATCACAGGCAGAGGCAGAAAAGCCAGACTATGAGGCCCCCAGACACCCTGTGTACTAAGGGCAAGCCTCAGTATTTATTAGTTTGGAGAGAGACAAAATAGTCAAAGTTTAAACATAGAGACTATTATTTGACATCGTCGCAAAGGCTTCCTGTCCAGTGGATTTAGCCAAATTCATTATGCTGAGCGGAAACGTCTTCTAGCAAGCAGGAACTTCAGCTATCCCTGTACTCTGGGACTAGTCATTCACGAAGATATTAAGCCTGCTGAGTGCATCCAATAAGTTGTGAGGCAGCAGTATGTTTAAATCAGTATAACCTAACAATTATTAACAAAAGGTACACGTTTAATATGAAATTCATTGCAGTATGTGGTCTCGGAGAGTTTAATGAAGCCAAACTGCTTTCCTTTTAACATTTAGAACAAACTGGCACGCAAACTCTGGAGAATAAACTATGACTGAACTGTGAGCGCATTCATAAACCATTCGTAAAAAACCCAAACAAAGCACCACATATTGCTCGAGCAAGATGGTGAATCTAGGCCAATACCACAGCCAAAGTTGTTTACTTGGCAGGGAGATGCATGTGCAATATCCAAAATTCTGATTGAGGGGGAGAAAGGGAGGATAATTTGAGTTTACAGACAAAACACTTTTGTAAAAGCAAAAGGCAATAAAACTAAAACCTAAAACGCAGATCGATACAAATATGCATATAATATAAGTTAAGCAATAGTCTATTCTGCTCAAAGGTGAAGTAAAAAAAGCTTTGTCTCTTTTGGGTAATTTTTTTTTTTTTTTTTTTTTTTAAATAGTGATTCTCGGATACACGAGCCAGAAATCGTCAGGAACCTGGCAGCGCAGAGTAGAAGCAGCTCTTTGTGTCCCATTTGGAAGCTGGCATTTAATACTGTCATCTCTGTCACAAGTGCTGTTCACTACCCTCCTCTAACAGCTTTCAGCCGGAAACATCATCTGACAACCACAGCAGCTATTATCCGCTTTCTTGGAGGGCCTCGCTAACTAAACATGAATACACAAACAGAGGAACACACAGACACACCGCAGACTTGTAACCAATACTTCACCACAAGGTTGCAGTTATGAATTTGCTCTCATGGTCTTAATACTGAGAAATGAAGCTGAACTGCAGAGAAAAAAAAAAGTGTGGTGTCTATGACTGCAAAGAAAAGCTGTTAGTACTGAAACATTTACGGCCCCTTTGGTTTCATTACAGGAACAGACTTAAAATGGACTTTTAATCTTCACATGGACCTTAAATTGGAGGCTTTTTCTTATTTTCTGTCAAATGTACAGTACTATGCAAAAGTCTTGAGTCACATCTCCTTTCTTCATATTTTGCTAGTAAAATGGGGAATAGGTGAAGCAATTTATTGAAAACAATTGCAAACACAAATTAAACATAGTATTTTGGAAAAATCTAAAAGTTTATAAGTCTCTCTTGGTAGTTTGCCTGAGAGAGTGTGTTTTCTTATGAACATCTTCTGGACAGCCACCTTTCCATTAAAACCATTTCAGAAAACACTAGAGGGGTTAGATGCATCTCTTAGGTCCTGTGTCAAGTCTTTTACGTGTCAGTCAGTTACATGGACTAGTTACAAGTGAAAAAGCAGCCAGCGTCCAAAGAAAAGCTGGAGAATGATTGCTCAAGACAACTCACAAATGGAAGCAAAAGACAAAGAAATGACAAGTGACTCAAGACTCTTGCACAGTACTGAATACTACAACAATAACAGATTTGCATCTGAAACATTGCTGAAATTTCAATCAACAAGGTCAGCATGTTTGTGCAATTAAGCAGCATCATAAAGACAGGATATATCCAATATGATTATCCCAAACATACAGCAATAAAGACATAAAGACCTGGATGGCCTCTAATTTTCTGCTTCTAAACTCAGATAAAACTGAGGTTATTGTACTTGTGCAATACCTTGGCATCCAGTAACACTGTGAGGAACCTTGGAGTCATTTTTGATCAGGATATGTCCTTCAATGTACATATTAAGCAAATATGTAGGACTGCTTTCTTACATTTGTGCAATATCTCTAAAATAAGAAATATCCTGTCACAGAGTGACGCTGAAAAACTAATTCATGCATTTATTACTTCTAGGCTATATTTCTCCTATATTTGCTTCCCTTCAGTGGCTCCCTATTAAATCCAGAATTGAATTCAAAATCCTGCTCCTCACATACAAGGCCTTGAATAATCAGGCCCCATCTTATCTTAATGACCTTGTAGTACCATATCACCCCATTAGAGCACTTCGCTCTCACACTGCAGGCTTACTTGTTGTTCCTAGAGTATTTAAGTAGTAGAATGGGAATCAGAGCCTTCAGTTTTCAGGCCCCTCTTCTGTGGAATTAGGCTTAAAACTTTCCTTTTTGCTAAAGCATACAGTTCGGGCTGGATCAGGTGACCTTGAATTCTCCCTTAGTTAAGCTGCAGTAGTGTAGGCTGCTGGGAGATTCCCATGATGCATTGAGAATTTCTTCTTCAGTCACATTTCTCACTCACTATGTGTTAATAGACCTCTCTGCATTGAATCATACTTGTCTGGCTCTTATCTGTCTCTCTTCCACAGCATGTCTTTTATCCTGTCTTCCTCCCCTCTCCACAACCGGTCGCAGCAGATGGCCGCCCCTCCCTGAGCCTGGTTCTGCCGGAGGTTTCTTCCTGTTAAAAGGGAGTTTTTCCTTCCCACTGTTGCCAAGGGCTTGCTCATAGGGGTTTGTCTGATTGTTGTAGTTTTTAGTTATGAAAAATGTAAAGCGCCTTGAGATGACTGTTGTTGTGATTTGGTGTTGTGTAAATAAAACTGAATTGAATTGAGTTGAAATATACAAACCTGTTTACAAACGGCAACCAATCAAAAGAAGTATAGCTTAAAGGGAATGTAACTACAAAAGCTTTTTTCAGAGAGGCAACACCCCAGGCTAATATGAGATAAATAAGGATTACTTAATCCTGAAAAGTATCTAAAGTATCTAAAGAATAAAAATAGGGAGTTGAAAATTAGCATAACAGGCCCATTTTTCAAAAATTATCTCTATTATCTAGGGTAAACTAAAAAAAAACAACAAAAAAACAAAAACAACATACTAATGTTTTAATGTTTTTCTGTGTTGTTATCTCAAGTCAGATGAAGCATAAAAAAAAAATCAGCATAAAAATGAATTTGCACATAAACCAAACAATAAACCAGACAGCAGAAGCACCAGATACAAAGTTTCTTAGTGTTAGAACTCAAAGGTAAAAATATACCCTGACCTCTTGCTCGCTGTCTAAGGCAGGTGACATTGCAGAGATAATGTTACCAGCTATGGACAAGGTAGTTTATAAGGTATAGACTTACTTAGGTTCAGGGAGGGGCACAGAGGGGAAAAGACAAAAGAGGAAAGAGGAGAAACGAGACACCACAAACAGACAGGACAAAACAGACTATGGGGGACAGCAAACAAAGGTTAGTGGCATTGGAAGTGAAAAGAAGTCATTGAAGAAGAAATGCTCAGGGTGTTGTGAGTTCCACTGCAGTTTTAGCCAACAGAGGTATAACTAAGGGATGATTTAGCGTCACCTGTTCTAAAGGTAGTAGCTTTTAAAAAATAAATAAATAATCTTAAATGTAGAGAAGGTGTACGTCTGTTGAATCCAAACTGGTAGCTGGTTCCACAAGACAGTGGCCTGATAGTCACCACCCATTCTACTTTTGGAAATGCTTATAACTACAATTAAGCCAGCACTCTGAGAGGAAAGTGGTCTATTGAGATAACACAATACAATAAGGTGTTTATGATGGATCCTGATTTTCTACATCTTGTACCCGAGGAGAAGGATTATAAATGAATAAAATGCTGCTGTATGAATCTAAATATCCATCAGAATAAACCCTGTCGACTAATTGTTTATGGGAGTATAAGATAAAACAACATAAACAGCAAAGCAACACATCAGATTAGATTAGAAATCATTCATAACCTTTGGCCCATTTTATACTTTCCTCCATTGTTGTCAGTTTCTTTCCTGTTTCCGTGGTGGTCTTGTGCTACTAGCTCTGCACGGTCAGCACTATTCCATTTTTGCAAACAAACATTTTGAGTTTCGCAATTTTTTTGTGCAGCAATAAAGCTACACGAGAATCTTATCACTCCCACAAATGCTACAAAGTTAAGGGGGTCCTTGACCTCATTCTATGATCATTAAAAAGGCATTAGCAGCTCCATGCTACAATAGCCGTTACTAGTATAACACAGCTGGATTTCTGACAGAAGTCTGCTGCCGGCTGAGTTGCTCTGTGCTGCTATAGGCTTAAATATGGAAAAAGAATTTGTGGAGCAAAAAAGATCATGACTGTAGTTATATTGCACTGATGTTAGACATTCAGAGTCTCTGCCATCTAATAAAAAGACAAAAGTGCCAGAAAAAATAAAAATCAGGGATTCGCAAGCGTGAAGAGCAGTAGAATTTCAAGTAAGGCTTCAAACTGACACGCCTCCTCTAAATCATGCTGTGCAGAAATAGGTGTAGAAGTCTGTCATTGTAACGATTATCTGTTTGTTCTGTTACTCCAGATGTTTTGTCTAGCCTCTGGAAAAGAAACATTGGTGTGTCCTCTCCTATGCCAGGCTGGCAAGACTCAAATATCACTGCCTCGTTTATTTATGTGCTCCAATTCTTTCTCCTTTTTTTGCCTCCTTTGGCCAATATATAAAACAGCAGAGCAGTGGTTTAAGGCAGCTGGCCTACACATCACCACCGAGAACCCACATGAGCTCTAACATCACCCGCCTTGTGGTGCAAGGATGCAGGGGTGGAAAGCACTCAGTTATCATACGCAGCCGCAAGGAGGTCTGGCAAAAGTCTCAGTGATGAAGTGGATGTGAATAAGTAGGGGAAGGCCTCGTGTACAAAGCAGCCTAGCGGGTCCAGCCACATGGACCAGCCAGTGGCAGCGGGTTGTAAAGAGAGACAGCTGTGGAAGGAAAACAGGAATGCACCTTTTTCTCTATTGCACACACACACACACACAGGCCCACAGGGAACAACCACCACCCATATCACCCACTTACTCGAGAAAGCTGGTGATGTAGTCTTTGCTGCAGGCAGACCAGGAGAAAGGGTTGGTGTTGGCTGTTATATGAGCAGCCATCAGTTTGGCTGTCTCATGACCTTTGGTACCGCAAGAATTCCCAATCCCATCATGGTTCATCCCAAAACTAAAACAGAAAAAAATAAATAAGAAGAGGAATTAATGCAGCTGGGAGAAATGACCATCTGGTCTGAAAGTGGTAGTTAATTGCACAGTTTAGATGGGATCTCGCTGGACAGTTAAGGCTGCTGGATTGTGGATGTCAACCTCTGTGGCTGTAAAGATTGAGCTCATTGGCTCTAAAACAGCTGTGTGGAGGGGTCAAGGGTCAAACCCTGTCTGGGGCTCTGCAGGAAAGAAGTTCTAATCACCACTCGGATGCCTGTCTGTCAATCACTGCCTGCAGGTCTGAGCAAGCCAGGGAAGGAAAGTCAGCACAGACTGGAGCGAGGAGTCAAGACCCTTTAGATCATTACAATGAGCAGCTCCAAACTTTGAACACTGTTCTGAAAGCTACGAAATAGTTTCTTTCCCACTGAATTCATGTTGGCTATCAATGGTTGCAACAATTCATTTTCAGAAAAACTTCATCTGTCATTTGAGAGAAAAGTTTCTCATTACAGCAGGATATCAAAGCTTAACTTTCCCTCACAGTCTAGTGGTGCGAATCAGGTCTAATGTATATAACAAACCCAACCACATTGCACAGACTGAACCTGTTTTTCTAAGGCTGGCGTTTATGACATTTTACCCTACTCGGGAAATAAATCAGGCCAGTCGAAACCCCGCTGTAGTGTGTTTTTTTATACATCCTCTAGAAGCAGAGACTATTTTTACAACTGCCCCACAACAGAAGCAGACATGAGACATAATAAAGGAAATCGCCATCTTGCCTAACTCTCGAGAGAGGAATACACAGACTAATACATCATCATTATTCAGGAAGAAAGAGGCCGAGGTATGCGGACACTGACATTTGCATGAGGAAATATGTGCAGTTACAGTCTGCAAGGGGGGGGGGGGGAAGACTATATGCAAGTCCGGCAAAACCAGGCAGTAAGTAATGTTTGTTTAAGAACAGGTCGTGAAAGTGATAAAAGGTTTGAAGACGACCTTAAGGAAAAAGAGGGCATTTGCCAACACCTAAAACTGCTATAAAAGGTGCTACATTTGTGGAAAGTTTCATTCCCAAAAATGTAAAAGGAAGAACTTCAAGTCCTGCTTAGAAATCTGCTGATATCAGCAGTGCCAATACTCATATTGAGGGATTTTATGCCACCAGAGAAGTTTAAGTTCTGAATTAAAAAAGGTCTTTTCAGTCATGACGTCATCAAAAGGATCCATGAATGAATATTGTCGGGGTGTAAGTTCATTGTGGATGTGCGTAAGGTGCCACGGCAAATTATGCTATAATCATGAAAAAGTATAAAGACAAAAAAGGAAAACTTTTACAAGCCATGATAAGGATTAACTAAGGGATAATAATTCTCAAGTCAAAGTAGACAGAGCTGCACCACTTTAAATTAATGAGACAAGTTCTGTTAAGTAATTTAAATGTGTGCCTTCAAAACCAAGCCATTTAAGGCCCTCTGACTTGGTCCCACCACCTCTGCAATACGCATCAGGGAGTAATGTCAAGTTTTATATTTTATATTAGGATCCTAAAAACTCTTAAAACTCACTTGTGGCCAATCTCGTGCGCAATGGTGAAAGCAGAACCGAGGCCGATGTCTTCATTGATGCTGCAGCTCCTCTCTGGCTCACACATTCCAGCCACTGAGGCCAGGCCTAGACATACACACATAAACACACATGCCAGACAAACATACAAACACAAGGTTGAGGCAAAGCATTCTTAGGACTCGCTGTCATAAAACTGGGATTCCATACATAAGCTACTGTTTGCAGCAGTGCTGAGAGTCAGCTAGTCATGGCTATAGATTCACCAGGACAAGTCAAGTTTAGCATTTGCTCCTAAATGTTTGTTGTTTTTTACTTAAACGGGGATATTGCTGGAAAAGGTTTATACACTGGATTTCATGTAACTAGTATTCTGACAAAAAACTGACAGAAAATAGAGTTGTTTTTTCTCATTCCAAAAGCAAGACTTGGAGAAAGAGGCCGAGAGAAAAGAGGGAAAAGGGAGAGGAGAGGGCGTTTCAAGTTAAAAACGCTCCACAATCCAGGTGTCGCAGGTTCTTTTTCCCCTAAAGCCTGACAGGTCAGATAGGGAGACTGCTGGCGATCCTTCACAGATTACATCTACAGGTGACTGGAGAGTGGATCATATGACACTGCAAAGCAGGTGTGTGTGCGCCTGTGTGCGTGCGTGTGAGAGAGAGAGAGAGAGAGAGAGAAGTACTTTCTATTTATTTCATGTTGGGTTTGAGTTTTTCCCAGGTTTTCATATATTTGAGAATAAATTAAGGGGAATCCTGTCACTCTGGATAATCTCAGTCATTTCGGTTAAGTTTTACTTGACATTTTAAGTAAATTTGTAAAAAAGAAAAATGCAATTAAATGCTGTTCAACAATGGCAGGAGAGGGTGCAACAAGATGAAAAATTAAAAGTGCACCAGTTATAGAAATATGATATGCTTTAAGCTTCCTCATTAGTTTGAAACAGCTCAGGTATTTACATTGCAATTTAGAGAAATTACTTTTTTTTTTTACCATCACATCTTTTCCACTTATCATTACTGTCATTTAAAAAGTGTCCTTTTTAAATGACAGCAAAGCTAGTTGGATTCCGCTTTAGGATGATAAATGACAATAAAATACAGAAAAGCAAATACACATCACCCCATTCTGATGGAGAGCAGCATTACAGTTTGCATAGAGTAATAAATACACTATACTGATGCTCCACAGTGTGCAAGTTGTTGATATTTTACATTATTTTACAGCGTACCTACTGAAATGTAAAACAACACTTTCATATAGTAAAAGATATGACACTACTGTGCTGCATAATATAGATTTTACAAACAAAGTCACTTGTTTGGTTGCCATTATAATGTTTAATGTACCTTCTGTAATCACCATAAAAATGGAAAATGTCTCTGTACCCTCACCAATGTACCCTGAAATCAGTTTCTTTACATTTCCATTCTCTTTATTCACCACACGGTTATCCAAAAGCTCCTGTATTTAACACCCTGAAGATACACGCTGAATGGACATGACTCATCACTACCAAGGAAGAACGTCAAAGGCTGAAAAGTGAGGCTGGTGTGTAAGTGCCAAAACTGCAGTTGTGTATTGGCAACTTGGGCCTGGCTCCAAAAGCAAGTCAGGCTCCACAGAGTCCCAAAAATGAAAATACCCAACTTTACAACACAAAGCACATTTTTTTATAGCCGAATACATAGCAGTTTTGGCCTTATTGATAGTTCATATCTTAATAGCAACTTGGGGTTGCTATGAAGGGTGGTGAAGGGGTGTGCCATCCAGTCATCCACATAGATGGCGGGTGGAGCTGTACCCACTGGTGTCTTCTGAGTCTTACCTCTGCTAAATATTGTCCCTTCACTGGATCTTTCTGCCATGTTCGTGCTGTTGGTGCATTTTGGATCAAGTTATATGTCCAAGGAAGTTGTGCCTTAGCTTTGAGGAGTGACATTCTACTTTATTAGTCTGTTATGCAACACTAATTAACCGATACTGTGTTTGTCTGTGCCTTACAGTTTATAAATGTAGCTTGTAAGCATTAGCTGATAATTTAGCAGGCCACCCTTTCCTCTCAATAACAATGTGATGGCCAAAACACTAACAGTGAGGCTTCAAAAAACCCCAAATCAATGGGTGACATCACGGTGGCTGAGTCCATCTTTGATTTAGTCAGCAATCTTGGTCATCATGGTGGTCCACTGCTAGTTAAACCTTAACATTACACTTAGCCACACACAAGCTGGAAACCACATCACACGCCCACAATAATTAAAGTCTAAATGCAAAATAGCTAAAATAAACATCACAGCACTACATAATTAATGATTTGAGCCTAAGCATGTACATTCCCATGAGTCTTTGAACTTGCCACTGTGTAAATAACCCAAGCTACCACCACCTTGGGTTGCTACAATTTCAACTCACGTTGCTACTCTTTCTTTTTAATTTCTTTATTTTGACTATGTGCATTTAAGAGTTAAGTTGTGGACGTACTAAAGCAGCGGTATCCAACCTTTTTTGCGCCACGGCCTTTAAGGTGTCGCGGATAAATACAACAAAATAAAATTAGTACCCGTACCGAAAAAAAGAAGATTTATTCATAACACACGTGAAAAGAGCAAGGAAAGCCGAGTAAACGATAAAAACCCTGAAAACTATACATTTCACACCTGAGCCTCAACACTCACGGTCCGAGGCCCGGGGTTTGGGGACCGCTGTACTAAAGCATCACAGTGAGACTCAAGTCTGACTTAACTAAAAATTAGAAAATAGGGTATTAATATTTATATATTGATATGAATGAATATTTTTTTCCTGAAAGGTATTAGCATTTAAAGTACCAAACTGTATTTACAAAAGACGGTACATTACTGTTTACTGTACTGTACATTCCCTGTATATTTTTTTAGCAGTTGATACAAAAACATCTTGCAATACAGTTGTGGGGATTTGTTTGGACTTTCATTCAAGAATTTTTCAAGTGCTTAACATGTGCATAAATCATGTAGATAGGAGCACAGTTACTGTCAACAGCTTTCAATTTTCTTTCTCTTGCGAATAAGCAGTTACCTCTGAACTTAGACAAATCAAACCAAAACTAAATGTCTGAATGGCTTCATGCAACGAACGTGAGCAAGAAAATATGTTTATTTTTATTCAGCTCGCATGCACCAGAGCGGTTTTCCAACTTGCAGTAGAAACTTTTGCAAAATGTTCTAATGATAAACTTTGCACACCTCTTTTTACACTGTTCATTAGCTACATAACATGTCGTTTGGCAACCAATGCAGCTTCACATCTTCCTGTAGCGCATGCATGGACTCCTCGCTTGCCTGCTAAAAGTGGCATGGCCTTTGTGTCCTCTTTACTAAGAGGCTAAACAAGAATAGACTCGCAAATCAGGAGGCCACTGAAACCATTACTGCAGGAAAAGAGGGAGCCTGAAGGTGAAGAGAAAAGGAGGAGAGGGAGGGAAAAGAAGAAAGGTGTGTGTGTGTGTGTGTGTGTGTGTGTGTGTGTGTGTGTGTGTGTGTGTGTGTGTGAGTGGGGGGCAAACATGGAGTGTAAGCTGTTTTCTTAACTCCAGGGTGGACTGTGCATTATCTCCACGCCCATGATTACTCTGCGACCCTAAATGC